CCCAGGGGGATAGCTTGAGGCTCTGTCTCAAAAAAAAAAAAAAGCACTGCTTATCAAAGTTCGCATTGTTGTCAGGCCCCGCCCTGCCCCGCCTCCCACCTCAATGGTGTACTGCTTTACCCGTGTTAAAATCTGGTCACCTTATGCTAAAGGGACTGCTGGTTTGGTGAGAAAATCTAGATCCTGTGTTGGGCAGGCTGCCAGGACACCTTGGGTAGGGTCTGTGGGCGGGGCTCCTGGAATAAAGGCTCCGAGGGCTAGGGGGAGGGCGGAAGTGACGTTGTGCTAGGCGGATCCGGCCGCGCACAATGGGCCATGGAGTTCCAGTTCGATGTGGATGCGCTGCTCCCGGAGCGGATCACAGTGCTGGACCAGCACCTGCGGCCCCCAGCCCGCCGACCCGGAACCACAACGCTGGCTCGGTGACATCTCAAACCCGACCCATGGCCTTTCTCTCCTGGTTCCTCTCTAAACCTGGTCCAGGCACCACGCCCCCTTCCGACTACTCACTTGCTCCTTTTGATGTCCTGGCTCGCCCTTTTGGGGACCCCTGACCCTAGACCTAGTGGGGCTGATCAGCGTTTGGGTCTACATCCTTTCACCCCTAAGCCCAGTATGTGGTCCCAACCAAAAGATGTAGTTGACCCAGCCTTATTGTTTCCCTACAATAACCTTAAGGCAGCAGTGAATACACCACCTTGAAAGATGTGACAGAAGTTTGGGTTCCAGTGGGACTGGGGTGGGAAATCACAGTGGAAGACTAGCAGGCAAAGGCAGAGTGCCTTAAGTGTGGAACCTGGGTTGGAGTTGTGGCCTGAGTTCCCAGGTATGACTGACTGCCTAGGACCCTCTAATTCAGTATCTGACTCTTTATATCCTCTCGTTCTATAGTGTTGATCTGCAGCAGCAAATTATGACCATTGTAGATGAACTGGGCAAGGCTTCTGCCAAGGTACTGGGAATTTTTCAGGTGAAGGGGGGAACCTCTGTGAGATGGTAAATAAGAGAGGCCTAGGTCCTTTGGAGGGACTTGCAATAAGTGTGTCTTCATCTTTCTGGCAGGCTCAGCATCTTTCTGCTCCCATTACCAGTGCATCAAGGATGCAGAGTAACCGCCACGTTATTTACGTGCTCAAAGACACTTCGGCCCGACCGTGAGTGCCAAATGCTCTTCCATCTCATGTTTAATTTTTTCCTCACTCAACCCTTTCCACATCTTTGACTCTATCTCTTCCAAATAGCTGCCACTAGCTTGTCCGTTATTTTCTCCATCCTACAGGGCTGGAAAAGGAGCCATTATTGGTTTCCTCAAAGTTGGATACAAGAAGCTCTTTGTATTGGTGAGTGTTATTAGAAGCTGGGAGTTAGTATACACTGGTTCCTGAAAACAAAAGTGCTGGAGGTTAGAGGGCAGCAAAGATGCCTGAATCCTAAACGATGTTTATTGTTTACCTCTTAGGATGATCGTGAGGCTCATAATGAAGTTGAACCACTTTGCATCTTGGATTTTTACATCCATGAGTCTGTGCAACGCCATGGCTATGGGCGAGAACTCTTCCAGTATATGTTGCAGGTATCACTTATCTCTTCATTGGTCTACCCAATATAGAGATCAAAGGCTCTTTTGCCTTGAGTCATTCCAGAAGCCCTGCCTCCATGTTGCCACATCCTCCTAATTCCCTTCCGAGGCTCCTGGGTTCCTGTTGTCATCCTTTCCCCATATGTTCTCCTACTCTGACTCTCCTGTTCCCTCTGTTCCCTGCAGAAGGAGCGAGTTGAGCCACACCAACTGGCCATTGACCGACCCTCGCAGAAGCTGCTGAAATTCCTGAATAAGCACTACAACCTGGAGACCACAGTTCCACAGGTTAGAGGTTCCAGAGGGTAAATCTTTATTCTGCATTCCTATTGAATGTGTATATTATTTGAGGCAAAGAAGTTGCACCTTCGGCTCGGTGCCTATAGCTCAACCGGCTAAGGCGCCAGCCACGTACACCTAAGGTGGCGGGTTCGAATCCCCAGCCCGGACC